CAGAAAGTCCAGTTGCCTCTTGAAAAAGCACCTTTGGCACCACAGAGTCTTTATACTTGCTATTTTCAAACAGGCTCTGAACTTCCATAATAAGGTCTTCCTGAGTGATGGGGGCCAGTAGTAAGTGCCAATCTGTCTCCGAGGCTTCAAGAAGAGAGATGGATTAGCCCTTAGGTAGAGGCATTTTCTAAGTGCAAGTGAGAACCTGATTGGAGGACAGTATAATTGCTCAGTTGTGCACACTCTGCAAAACAGCACATTCTATTAGAACTGTATTTATGCTTTATAATTTGCTTGTTTCGATGGGTTTGGGCTGTTTTGATACTGCTGTCTATCTGCATTGAGATGATGTTTTTATGAAAGACGGGATGCACATAAAATGAAATTGGCAAAGGCCTGATGCACATTCTTCTCTTGGTTTCTCCTAGAGTCAGCATAAAGCAAGTTCAACCAAAGAAGACATAGAGCCATTCCTATGCATCATATTACCAGCTACCGTGATGCTCTTCCTGGCATTCCTGTTGCTCTTCCTCTACAGACGTTGCCAGAGTCACAGTCCTCAGGCTCAGATCTTCAGCATTGACTTGCCAGAGTCCCTTCCGGAACATGAAGTAACAGATTTTCTCTCTGTGCTGCCTTGGAACCATGAGCAGAGATTCCAATACTCCACCCTCCTGCCTGAAACTGCCTTTCTCGCTGTATGCCTGCCTCCGTCATATGAGGAAGCCACCATGAAGGCGTCCATGGAAGAGGACCATGTTCAGCAATTTCAGGAGCCAGTGCCTCCTTATGAAGAGACCAAACAACAATAAGCACACAGAAATCCTTTCAGTACAAGCACAATGGAGCTTCAAGGGATTAATTTTAACAGAATTGATTTCAAACAGAACGGATATTGAAATAACTCACCAGACAACTGTATTGGATGAAGGAAAGATTAAACTTGACATGGTGCCTAGGAAATTCCTGCAGTAAATGACATACAGATGTTTTAGAAGGTAAACTTGAAGTGAGTTGGATTGCAACAGCTGTGTTGGAAAACAACTAGACTGGAATTACACATAAACATAACTGAAAGGGCTTTAACGTTTGTAATGCAGTATTATTTCTTAGATGTTTTATGAATTCAACAAATAATCAAGTTTACATATCAAAATACTACAGATTATACATGACTTTTGAAATGTATCTGGAGAGTACGGTCTCTGAATGGTACACACAATAAATGTGTGGTCTTTTGAGTGTTCAAGATAAGTGGAAAATATGGAGATTTGATTATTGGAAGGCACAATGAGATACTTTTACACCAATGCGGTGGTTTTCTGCACTGTGTACAAAGTAATTTCGTGTTTTTTCTACTTTTAAATAGAACAAATCCTGTAACCTTTTAATTCTATATATAAGATCAAGTTAAGTATGGCTACATTAAAAACAACGAAGTATTTAAATTATTTATTTATTTATTTTGCCCTTCAGGTAGATTCTAGTGACATTTCTGTCACTACAAAATCTGTCCATGTATCTATCCATCTATCTAATCTATCTATTCCTCTACCCATCCATTATCTATCTATCTATCTATCTATCTATCTATCTATCTATCTATCTATCTATCTATCTATCTATTTATCTATCTATCCATCTAATCTATCTATCCATCTAATCTATCTATCCATCTAATCTATCATCTCTATCATCTCTCTATTTGTGAGAATAACCTTTCCAAAAGGATTATTCTATCTGGGTAGATAGGATAGGCATACTCTTGGTGTCTTTATTTATACACTGTCACCTTATAGGAAATGTGCCTTTTCCCTTGCCCTTCTGGAATACTTTTCCCTCTGAGGTATGGCAGACCTCGATCCTCCTAGCCTAGAAGGCACTGAAGATTTAACCAAGTGCTGGTACAGAATGAGGTGACTGTATGCCAGAAGCTTAACTTGGGGCCAGGTTTTTGTTTTGTTTTCATGCTTATGGTTTTAACAGTCTTAATATAGTTTTGAGTTGTTTTATTATAATATTCTTTAATTCTCCATTGGGAGCTTGGTATAACAATGGTGACTATATAAATGTTTTAAAATAAACAAACATTGAATTTTTGGCTATATTTCAAAATCATAGTTTTAGATATGAGCCTAAAAAGAAAGAAAATTGAGAACAATTATCACTATTTTGATCAATAACATATCTATATGAATGTTTAGTTGCATAGTTTTCATAAGTCAACAGGCAAAGTAATGCTTTAAGTAATATCCATCAATAGGGGAAAACTTATTCTTTATCTGATAACTAACATTTTACATAGACATATTAGTAAAAATAGAAACAAATAATTTCTTGGTAAATTAGAATTGCCTATAGGTGAGATGGGTAGCATACAAATCAAATAAGTAAATAAATATCTACTGTAATTGATGTGGATGCTTTATTCATATTTATTTCAAAAAATCATATTTATTTCAAAAAGCAATTGCTTGTTGTCATCCAAATAAACTTTTTAGGACAAATGCATTCTACACTAAGAAATGAATTAACATCATTACGCTGAACTGGCATTCTATGTTTTTAATTAAATGATTGCATTAATATAACCTCTCTAATACTGTTATTATGGCTATATTGCTTATTTATTTTTAGTAGAAGCTGTTAAGAAATAAGTTGGAATTAAACAGGCCAATCCTCTTTAAATTCAAGTCACTTGACTGACATTGCCTTTCTAGTTGGACAGATTATTGCATCAACATAATAAATATTGGAAACCAATTATTTTCAGACTGTCTCTACTTTCTTAGTCTAATAATAGTTTTCTTTCTATCCCATCCCTACTTTATATATCAGTAACTACCAAGATTGCTTGGCAATTCACAATAAAAAGATAAACCCATAAACCCAAATTAAAATTAAGTACTTTGAAAATACATTAAAATTATTAATATTTAGAAACTTGCTCAAAGGTGAGTATTTCCAAGCTCAGAAGGGTGTTCGAAGAACATAGGAAATCATAGAGAAGGCTCTGAATGTTAGATAAAAGTCTATACATATGTATATATTGTTGTTCACAGAATATTTGAGATTTAGATAAGTCTGAGAACTAGTGATATGGTAATCCTTAATTTTAATGCAGTCAACAGTATTTCCTAAGTGCTGTTGCTATGATATCTAAAAAGGCCAGTTCTTTTATGTAGTTCTCAAATAGGTTGAGCATATAAACTCTCCCATACAACTGGCTAGATTGGATGGCAAGATCATTGCCATGAAAAATGGCATTCTTATCGGTAATGTCTATAGAGATTCTCAGTCAAAGGTGCTTTTTCAAGAATCAACTAGACTTTTCAGAAAGTCCGGTTGCCTCTTGAAAAATGTCCTTTGGGACATTCTTACCAGGGTATTACTAATCCCCCTTGAGAGTTTAATCATACTTCTTGTGACATTTGGGAGAATAAGAGTTGGACAGGTAAGAAACTTTTATATCTATATTGATGTATGCACAAGCAATTGAAAGTTGCAACGTAACTATTACTATTCCTGGCGGTCCTAACAATGAGCTTTTATGCAAGTGAAACATATGGAACAATCTGCAATCGAAGCAGCCTTTCCAGGTGCGTTATTCTGCACAATGATTCAGGTGCACATCCAACTATCTCAGATTTTAGCTCTCTTCTTCTGAAGCCTTGCCGAAGTTCACTGTTCTCACCCTGAAGTTTTGCGAATTGCCTGCGTCCTTACCGCAAATCACACAAGAAGAACTTGGCATTCTTACAAAAAGAAAAGAAAGAAAAGAAAAGAGACTTGGCAAAATTTTATTAGAGGACCCTCATCAACCCCTAACAGTGAAATCTTGCTTGCTGCTTGGCTTTGCCGTGTAAAGTGCCAAGCGCCTCCTTCCCCGTAAATTCAAAAGGAGCGTGGGATTGTCAAGTGAACATCCAGTGCGTACTTCCAAACACGGAAAAGGGCGCAAACTTCGAGTGCCAAACTTTCCTCCGCATCTCGCAGCGCGGAAAAAAAAAAAAAAAAAACGCACTTGCCGTCGGCGCAGCGACGAAAACGCAAGCATTCCCTCAGCGAAGAGAAATGCGGCGCTGTGGGAGTGAGCGGGCGAGATAAACACGAATGCCTTCTGCTTCAAAGAGCCCTTTTCATCTCCCCCTCTCCTCCCCCCTTTGGGCATCTGACAGGAGGCCATGAGCTCACTCCTTCTTTCCCCGAGAGACCGTGCCACCACACCAAGCGACAACCCACACCAAGCGCCACCAAAAGCTTTTTTTTTCTTCTCCCCGCCCTCTTTCGTTCTCTCGGTCCGGCCAAATAGCCGGCCGTGGCTCCCTTAAAATCCCCCATGGGCGTAAAAGCCGCCCATTCGCAACCAATCAGAAAACCGAATTCTCCGTATCGCCAACACCCCCCCTCCCCCGCAGTGACCGCCAGATTCTTTGTGCAATTTTCGGGGGGGGGGAGGGGAGGCGAGAGGAGAATAATTATTCTCTCCATCCTGAGCCGGGCAGCCCCGCCCCACGACTCTTGGGGCTAGAAATGTTATGCCCCCGCCCCCCCCCTCAAACTCTGCTGCTTTTTGCAAAAGTTCCTGCTTGGGGACCAGAGAAGAGGCTAACGGAAAGGTGAGTTGAGGGATAAATTTTGTTTTGGTAGTTATGTTTTGAACTGAACTGAATTGAAATCTTTATTGGCCAAGTGTGATTGGACACACAAGGAATTTGTCTTGGTGCAAATACTCTCAGTATGCATAAAAGAAAAGATACATTCGTCATGAATCGTCAGGTACAACACTTAATGATAGTCATAGGGTACAATAAGCAATCAAATCATACTTGTGAATAGTTGGACAGCGTTGAGGGAATTGTTTGTTTAGCAGAGTGATGGCGTTTGGGGAAAAACTCTTCTTGTGTCTAGTTGTTCTGGTGTGCAGTGCTTTATAGCATCGTTTTGGAGTTGAAACAGTTTATGTCGAGGATGTGAGGGGTCTGTAAATATTTTCACAGCCCTCTTTTTGACTCGTGCAGTATACAGGTCCCTGATGGAAGGCAGGTTGGTAGTTTTTTCTGCAGTCCTAATTACTCTCTGGAGTCTGTGTCTGTCTTGTTGGGTTGCAGAACCAAACCAGACAGTTACAGAGGTGCACCTTCCATAGGTCTTTTCCCCTGGAGAAGTGCTGTCCCAACTGAACTCTTCAAAATCTGAAGAGGGTCAGGTTTAGCCCTTTGAGTGAGCAAAGCAAATCAGGCAGGATTTGCCAGGTGATGCAGCTGTGAGAGTTCCTGAATTGAGACTTTTATTCTTTGAATCGAAAGGAGACTTGCTACTCGGTGGCATGCAGAATAAATGGAAAACCCTCACATTTGGAAGCAGTGCAAAGCAGAAGTGGTTCTGGGAGAAATGCAAGAGTTATCAACTTAAGGAAAGGTGAATACTTATTTAGGGGAAGGATTCTACCAAGAGAGGTTCTACTTCAGCCTTGAGAGTTCTACCAAAGTGATCCAACATGGTGCTGTGGAGGACACGATACAAACCCAGTTAAAAGAGCAGGTTGTCTCAGAGCAAAGTTGTACCCAGGAAGTTGTTTCCAGGCCATATCTGTGTTTACAGCCTTTTTTTTAAAAAAAGTAATTGTTACTACTAGATATTTTTATATAGGCTTAAAAACTACAGAAAGAAAAAGTAGAAAAAGAAGATGTAAAGATAAAGTGAAAGCTAACAAAAGGAAAAGAAAAAAATGTAAAGAGACAATTTCTGATCTTTACAGCTGTTACAAACACAACATCTCCACACACCCACACTACATATGCTTTTCTTTTTTAAAACAAGCCTT